AACGGTTCGGACGGTTTTCATAAACCGTTCCATCCCTAAAGGCCATCCTACATGCTCATTCCCATTTACACTTACTGGTGGTGAGTCTGACATAGTGGAAAAATTGCAAATCTTTTGGAAAGTATGCAGCTACAGTGACTTTTAAACAGAGCTCTCGCTCACCTTTAATAGGCGTTTCCTCTCGTGAGCCGGTACAGGGTTGTGCATGTGCTTTTTTTTATCAAAAAGTGGATGTTAGGAATCCAGTTTGTGTGGCCTGTTTGTTTGTTTCCGTTTTCCACCACCAGGAGGTGCCCTGTCTTCTCTGTCCCTCCCTGCACATCTGCGGCTCATTGGATCATCATCTGGAGGAGTATTTGAGCAGTGGACTGTCACTACCTCGACGCCAGAGTGTTTGCCAGTTTTGGGTACTATAGCCAAGCTGAGTTTAGTTGAGTCTAACCTAGCTTTGTTTCTCTGAGTCTTTTTTGTCTTTGCTCCCCGGCCGGAAGCTTTCCTGTGTTACTGGATTCCTGGACCTTCTCCCCCCTGGAAGGAAAAACCGAGTTACGCTGTGCAGGGGAAAACCTCCACCTGTTCCGTTCAAGTACCCATCTGAAATCCGAGTAACAGTCCGCTCCATTACTCCTCCGGGTCCAACGCTTGTCAACCTGTCCGCCCTCCAACGTGTGCTCTATTCTCTGGATTTACCACACAGACAGGATTCAAGGACTAACAAGGCCCCCCTCTAACGTGGCTCCCATTCTTGTAAATCTAAGTGCTTCCAAGATTCCCACTGTACCTAAACTGACCACTGAACTTCCCTTCTCACTTCCAGTTCCGGGTTACCAGCTCACTGAGTTCTAGATCCAACTCCTGTTTTACCCCCTCAATAAACCAGTTAAACTTTTTCCGTGCTCTCTGAGTGGTTTCTCTGCATGTGGGTCAGATTCGTTAAACCGATCATGACAGTGGATAGGCTGGGACTTTTCAAAAATTCTTCAAAATCCTCCACTATACCTCTAAGTTTGATCATTATTCCTCAAAAAAACAAAAACAAAACACTTCAGCTAAACCTGGAAACCCCTGAGGAAAGCAAACTTTAACAAACCTGCCAATTAGGAGAAACTCTCCTGCTACTCCCAGCCGCCGCATAGCCATGAGCAGCCCGCGGACTGTCATGCCTTCACAGAAGCAGACAACAACTCTGGCTTTGGGGAGACGCTCCCGCAGCTTTCTGAGCAGCCGGTCGAAGTGCTTCTCCCCAGCATTGCTGTAGATTTTGTCAGAATGAGCGATGCAGAGGCCTTCCTGCGAGGCGAGCTCTTTGAACGCTTCCATCCCGCTCTCCCCATAGTTACCTGAGGAAGACAAGAGGAGCTGTCAGCTGAGGATCATTCATAAGAGAAAGGAAATGATCAGGAGAATCTCTTTCATCTAACAGAAGGTTCCTTAATACCCAGGCTTGTTTTTCAGCCATAAGCGAACATGAGGGCTAACAGAAGGCAAGAAATAAACATACTCATCTTGTTGTTAATGCTTTCCAGCTCGGATGTTAAAGATTATAAATTAAAGTTAACAATGTTTTAATGGGATGATAGGCTATTTTTACTCTCATTATCAAATTTGGTCTAAACATCATATATAAGACAGTCAGGAAATTTGACTCCAAATAATATTAAGTCAATATTACATCTGTTGAAATATTTTATCTATATTCATTCACCTGGCCCCTGTAATATACTGTAATTAGATTTGATGTTATGGATCAACCCTGCTTTCAAATCTATCTTAGAATAAACATGTTTCCATGACCTTGCTGAAAACAAGCTTCCCCACACCATGATGCCTCCACCATCATGTTTAACCACTATTAAACTGTGAGACGGGGGTGAGCAGAGTTAGTTTCCCGCCACGTGCAGCAATTTCCTTGTAGCCCTAAAAACTTGGTTTAGATCCCTGATCAGAGCATCTTCTTCCATATGATTTCTGTCTCTCCTATATGGCTTGTGGCAACATTTAAAACTGACTTTTTTATGATTTTCATTTAACAGTGTCTCCACAGGTCAGGTCTGCAGAATGAGTCAGTAAAATTGCTTCTGTAAGCAGATTCTTTCACCTGAGCCTCGGTTCTCTATTGCTCATTTTAAGTTTCCAAACCCCGGGGATGTTTGACTAATGCTCTCCTTGGCCCACCTCTCAGCTTAGCTGTGTGTGTGTGATGGTTCAGAGCTAAGGATATTGTTTTATTACTCAATACTCCTTCAATCATGTCCGCACCCATTCCTCACCTCTTTTCTGTGTTTTTATTTAGATTCCATTGTGTGGTATTCACTGAAAATAGCTGAACACATATTTAAATATGCCTTATGCCCTGCTTTGTGTTCATCTGTCACATCAAAATACCAATGAATGAAATTGAGGCTTGTAAATTGAAATGAAAAAAATTTTGATAAATACTTTTAAAGAGGAATGCATAATATAATGTAGCTCCAGATAAATAATTATACCCCTGTCCATCTATTTGTGGTAAAATATGGAAAATGTCATTATAAGACTTGACGTTCAAATTAACAAATGCGAGTTAAACGCAAACACATTTTTAATCAGAAAGCCAGAATTGATTATTGAAAAAGATGTAATTTTTTAAGGCTTGACTGGACTTACAAAATAATGGAATATGACCTCAGATAATTAATGACTCTGCTACAGTAAGCCAAGAAACTCTCCAAATGACAGATATGATAACATTTTTTACATGAACATATGCATGAATGCATGCTGCACACACTTTCACAAAAAAAAACAGGAGGCATTGTGTATGTATATTTTAAATAGTTGTGGTGTCTGAACCTGTTTGGGAGCAGTTTTGGTTGTGCTTTCTCCCTCTCTCACTAGCTACGTTTACATGGACACAACTAATCGGATTGAAGGCCTGATCAGATCAAAAATGTTTCATGTAAACATGTCAGACTGAAGATTCTAATCCGATTCGGTCCGATCGGATCTAAATTTCATTCCGAATGAGAGAGGTGGTTTTTGCCGATCGCCATTCTGATTGGCGTCCATGTAAACACCCATTCGGATCTAAAGAGTAAAATAATCTTCACTGCGCATGTGTGCGACGTCAGTGTGACGTTTTTCCGCCTTGTCAACAGCGGGAAACCACCGGTCGCTCTCGCTCTCGCTGTGAACAACATGGCGGGAGGAGTCTAGGAACGCCGACTTATACACTCAAGTTTATTTAAAGCTGCAGGAAGCAGGAATTTATCCTCCTCCTCTTCCTCTTTTCTCTCTCCACAGCCCACTCGCTCTCCCACGCCGGTTCAATCGCTCATTCTCTACATTTTCTCTCGGACATTTCGCTGCCAAGCGCTTTTTTCCTCCTCTCTCCGTTTTTCTTTCCGCTCGCTCCGAGCGCATCGTTTGTCAGGCCTCCCAAAAACCAGACGCAGACAGAACTGCCAAGTTTGGCAGGAAGTTCTGCGCATGCTTAAAAGATTTAATCTGATCCAACGCTTGGTACATGTATACACACGTCATGATCGGATCATTTCATTTAGTGTCCATGTAAACGGAGATTTTGAATTTCCGATCAACCAAGGTTTGGATCGGATCGGGGAAATTTTGCGCATGTAAACGTAGCTACTGATAGGTGTGGCTTTGGAGGAGCTGGCTTCACACAGCTCAGACTGTTCTTTACCTGGAGCAGTATTTAAAGCCTGGCTTCCTGATTGCTCAGTGCCTGATGGTCACCGTTAGTTGGTAGATGTGCCAACTTCTTTCCCTTGTGGAAGTAATCACTTCAGCCTTTTTGTAAATATGAATCTTACCTGTCCTCTGTCTACCCAGGATCCAGCTCCAAATCAGTCTCCAGCTACCAGGCCACACCACCCACCTCCCTCATCTCCAGCTGCTGCAGAGAGCTTGCCTTCCACCTCAAACTGCCCCTGCTTCTAGAGACGGCTTCCTTCCCTGTCTGTCTGTGAACCAAAATAAACTTATAAAGTGCTTTCTCCTTGCCTGGCTGTCTGCATTCTGGGTCCAGCACTTAGCTCCTCACAATAGTAGCCTAACTAAGGAACAGGTGAAAGGTGGAGTGGATCCTGGATGGTTCACCAGTCCATTCCAGGGCTCATAACAAATGTGTTAGGAATCCTGTCTGTGTGGGTTGTGTGTTTGTGTTTTCTCCCTCCACCACCAGGTGGCGCCCTGTTCTCGTTGGTCCTCCCACACACCTGCGGCTGGTTGGCTCATTACTGAGGACTTCTTAAGCGGTGGACTGTCACTACTTCGACGCCAGAGTGTTTGCCAGTTTTGGGTACTCTAACCTAGCTGAGTCTAACTGAGTTTTTGTTTGAGTCTAACGTGATTTTTGTCTTTTGCCTTTCAGCAGGAAGTCATCCTGCATACTGGATGTTTGGCCTTCTCCCCCTGGAAGGATTGTTTGAGCTTCACACTGAGCAGGGGATTAATCTCCGTATGTCTCGTTCAAGTTCTCCAGGAAATCTATGTGGCAGTCTGCTCCATTGCTCCTCAGGAACCAACCAAACCAAAACCTGTCCGCCCTCCAACGAGCCCCTCTATCTCTGGAAAAACCCACACTGACTGGATTCTGGGAAGAAACCTTTCTCTGAAATCATGAGTCCGGTTTATCTCTGTTTTTGCAAGACGTTGTCAATGTTCCCACGGACCCTGAACTTCTCTTCTCACTTCCAGTTCTGGTTCACCAGCTCTCTGAGTTTCCCTGAATCCAACCCATTTGAACTCCTCAATAAACCTGTTAAACTTTCACTCTGGTTTTCTGCATGTGGGTCAGATCTCTTAAAAAAAAAGGCATGACAAAATGTACACTAACTTAGATTTCATACTGCATGTAGGGCACCGTGTTCTGTTACGATAAACTTTGATGTATCTAACTGGGACCCTGTGATAGGCCACCAAAAAACAAAATCATTTATAAAACCATAAAAATCTTTTATAATTCAGTTTAATAATAAATGTCATTATATGCATTTCTTATTCAGCCCACTCAATATTCTTTGAGTCCTAAACTATTCAGTATAACTAACTCTCTTCCCTAGTCACCTTTTTTGTAAATAGAGTCCTAATGAGAGTATGGCACAACCACAGCCCTATTAAGATTTGGCCATTTCATTAAATGAATGGCCAGGTGGGGAGTGCAATAATAGGACAGCAGCCAAGAGGCCTATTTTAACTCTAAGTCCAAACTTGAGAGGAGGTCTTTGGACAGTATAACGATGCATTTTTTTTGTAATAAAAGCAAGAGGAGAGCCATTGTTTTGAGAGAGTCATAGCAAGTTCAGATGTTGCCACAAGCAGATGCACAGTGTATATTTAAAAGGTGGTGGACCAACACTAGGCCTACCTTCTAAATGTGTTTTGTGGCAAACCAACACAGCAGACGGCTTTGAACACACCACTTCTATGAAGGAACATGGTAATAGCAACATCATACAGCAGGGATACACTTTTAAGAGAAGTCAGGGTAACTGGTAAAAACTGCTGGAAATATGGGAACCTTCTAGTAGCACAAGGTGCCCAATAAAAGGTGCAATTATACCTACAAAGTGATCGTGCAGATGGATTACAAAACTGTGCTAGAAGCTTCAGTGTGTTATTAATCTAAACACGTGACTGTTTTCATTTAGGTAGGTAATACTTTAGTGTTTTCTTCTGAATATTTCCAACTTTTTATTAACCCTGAACTCTGATCTGTGTGTTTTTGTTCCATCTGTTTTGCAGGATTTTAATACTAAACATGTTGGCTGTCTGGTTTGCTGTTTGTAAGTTCTACACAAATCAATAAGTAAAATGAAATTTTCCTTGTCTGTAACATAAAATCCCAATAAGATACATTCATATTTTTCCAGTTTTGAGATGAAAAAATGTTGAAACACTTAAGAACCCTGACCCCTAAGGTTGCTTCACAGAAATGCTTGTTTCAAAGCAAATAAAATATTTGATTCTTCACTCGTCTTAACATTATATTCCCATGGGATCTTTTATTTATGAATAAATATCAAAAAGAACAATTTTGATTCAAATTTTCCAAGCTGCAGAGAGTGAGTAAATCCTTAAAAATCGTATAAATGGAATGTAAAATATCTTTTTTAAGATATATTATTTCATTGTGCTTTACTTGTGGTTATTTTACCAGAGAGAAACTATTAACACAGATAAGCAAAAAAATAAAATAAAAATAAAATAGAGCTGGAAATAAAAAACAAGCACATAGACTGCCCTGTTTCTCTTTCTCCCTGTGAAATCACCTCCTGAAGATACTAACATCATAAGCCTGCCTCTGTCTTTGGCCATCTGCTATTACTTTGATGAATCAATATGAAGCAACTGCTTTCTCTAAACCAACCCAGTTTGATCTTGAGCTGTTGGTTTAGTAACGAAACATTGAATGAATTCCAAAAGTTTAACTTGAGGTCTTCTTTTTTTTGCTCTTGCTCTCTTCAGGGATCGATAAAAGTTCAGAGACTTTAACATTAATGTCATACTGTGGCCATGAAAATTAAATAGGGGTTAATATTCCCTGAGAGAGAAATTAAAATTAGGTAATTTACTCTTTAATTGATAAACAATTCTAAACCAGACATTCAAACAAATAAAGTAGCTACAATAAGTCTTACCCTCTGTGTGTACTGCAGACACATAGGTCCAGTTATATCGTTTGACAATGTCCAACAGCGCTCTGGCTTGTAGGGTGTCTGAGGGCACAACTCTGAGGAAGTACTTGAATAATGTCTTATCGCTAAGATCAATGCTGGTTGCAGAATATGCTATCTGCGGGATGTTGAACAACTGCAAAAGGTTTTGGACTTGAATTGCAACTGAGCTGGAGCCAGGTCCAATGACTCCAGCAATGGGCTTCTTGGTTGGAGGCGGTTGACTGGAAGGGGCTCCTTCAATGCACCACTTGGAGCCCTCTGTGTCGTCCCGGATGGAGATGAGAGAGTCTCGTATAAACTCTATGCTTTGTTCAAGGGCAACAGAGGAATGCCAGCAGGAGTCTCTGATCTCACAACCCAGGGTGATGTTTGGTAGCAGGTTGGGGTCAGAGTTTATTCGATCCAGGGTGTGGAACATGGCCTCCACTCTCTGAATGCCATACTGCTCACGGACTTCTCCACATTTCCTTTCTGCCACTTTCTCTGCTGATGGCTGGTGATGAACAGAAAACAGGGCGCCTATTATAACATCCCCGTCCATTCGCGCCACGAGACGAGAGGCAGAGCTTGGGACAACTGACCTTTCATACTTTCCTTTGGACAAAACAAATGCCTCAAAGAGTAAAACGGGCAAATACAAAATGCTTATTACAGTCAGGTAAATCATGTTTGTCATTGTATAAGGGATGGGCTCAGATTTATGTCCTTTGGGCCATAATAGAGGTCCATTAATCCCTTCTGGATACAATGGGCTCTTCAATGAAGTGGAACCTTCGTCCTTGCTTTTGACCTGCAAGTTAAACAGGGAACACTGCATCTTAAAATGATTTTTTATACAATTAAAATGCAAATCACACAGTAAAAAAAAAATACATACAGAAAGAAAATAGTAGCAAAACATAAGCGGGTTGAAAATACCTGACAGTTCTGGATGGCATCAAGTTTCTTGTCACAAGGGAAAGCTTTTTAGTTTCAGCACCTTGGACAGCAACCTGTGTTACAGTTGAAGAAATCATTTGTTTTTTTTTATTGATCTTTTTAACTTTTACCTTAAAACATCACAGAAAAATATAAATATACCCGCGCTTAGATACATTTTACTGACAATGCAATAGTTACAACTGTAGATCTTACATGCACAAGCATATTAATCAGGTAAAGCTGCATATTTAATAGGATTTAGGAAGCAGATTTTCAGGTAGCAAACATGAGTTTATTTACCTGCGACAGGCAGCTCTGTTATGCGGGCTCTGTGTCTCCTGTGCTGCAGCCAGACTGAACCCCAGCTTCTTCTCACCAACAGATCACAGTGAGACTGACTCCCTCTCTCTGTTTTTCTATCTGCACTGATGCCCCCTTCTTCTCCTTTCCCTCACTGCATCTTAAAAGCGGGTCATAGTCACTGCAGTGTCCCTGATTTGAGTGCACGGTTTGTAAACGTCTGGGCGGGACGGTGACGCACTTACAAATCCGATTTTGGGGGCGAAATATTGGGGTTGATGTAAAAAAAGAAAAAAAGAAAAAAGAAAAAGGAAGGTATTCAGTAATCAAAAAACGTCAACTTTTACGGCTAAGAAGACTGCGCCAAAACAACATGACGTAGGAGGCCCTCCGAAAAAATAACTTCGCCTAATATAAAGGGACTCATCAAACTTCCATTAAGATTTCTTTCCTGTTACATTTCGATACGGACAGATGTGATGCATGTGCATCTTGAAGGTGCAGCTGATAAAGGAGGCCGCTCTCTGGCGACACCATGCGGTAAAGACATGATACGACAACCTTTCATTTTAAAATATTTTTGAAACGTTTCATCTCTACTTCGTCCCTTTGTGCTCTTATACCCAAGGGCGTAGGTTTGATTTAATGTAGGTTTGATGTAATTGGTCCTATGCAAAAATATGCATGCTCGTTTTTTTAATGCTTCACGTGAAAATCAGGGTGTATTTCGTTTAAAGAGATAAAAGCAGCATTTCTTGCTTCATTTATACAAATTGTATAAGCACTGCACACACTAGATGCTGTTTATCAATGACTGAAGCTTAACTGGCTCTGATGAATGAGGAAATAGGACTTTGAAAAGGTTTGTATTTTAAATTACCAGTGACTAAGACAGTAGGTAAATATGTGCCTATTTAACAGAATATAGTCTAAATATGTTTGTTATGTGTGGATTTATACTTTTTTTATTTTGAAGATATAGAATTGTGCAGAGGTTAACAGAGGTAAAACCCACTCTTATCTTTTAAATGTTCTTTTTGTACCATAAAACACAGTGAAATAATAGAATCAAGGGACGCCAAATAAATGTCTTGTATTTACATGTGAACTGGAACTAGATGAGGAACTGACACTGAGCTTTTAATAACTTCACTCTACAAGTTCTACATCTAGGCTGTAGTTACTCTGTTTAACCCATTTCATGTGTTTTATTTAGGGCTGAAACAATTAATTGGATTAATCAATTATTAAAATAATGTAATCTAATTTAGTAATCGATTGATTATTGATTATGGAGTATCGAGACTCTAAAAGATGTCTTTAGTTCAGTAGCTTTTATTTGTCCCAGTATGGGCAATTTTGTGCAGTAGTAGTACACCTTTCACACACATGTTCACATTTCACAAATCACAGATAAAAAAATAAAAGAAGCACAAGAGACACATAAATATTTAAAAAGATAAAAGTAAGGTGGATAAAAGAGACAGAAATGTAAAAAATAATAAAAAGTAAATAAATATGTGCAAATGAGAGCATAGACCTGAATGCATGCAACATATGGCTATCTGCTTTTCCTGTTAGAGTTTAGCAGCTGATGAGCAGAGGGAATAAAGGAGTGTTTGTATCTGTTGGTCTGAACTGGTGAGTATTTAAAATGGGAACCAGAGGGTAGCTCATAAAGCGACCAACTTAGAGCAAGAATTATACCAAAACTGTAAAAAAAATTGATAAACATTTTCCATTTTAGATAAAACACGTTTTCGTCTTTCAATATTCTCCATCCAGAACTCCTCTACTGCTGCAACAACGCTGTATTTTTAATTATAAACATGGTATTCACATCTAATTGTTGATAGGGACAGGTAGGTGTGATTAAAAACTTAATTTTTTTAAAGAAATTTTATCCCAATAGCTCTTGGAGGTCTACAACTTCTACTACTAGCTGATTTTATTGTTTATAAACTCCCCATTAAACCATCAGAGTTTCATAAACAAGCGTTATTATACTAGAAAATGCTCTATGTACATAACTACTCTCCACACTTTACTATTATATGGAATCATACTATATAACAATAAATCATTATTTCATAGAAATTGGATGGAAAAAAATATAGTCTGTTGTACACTTTGTGGACGATAATGATTATGTGAAATTATAAACAATTTTGCATGAATTAACATTTTTACCCCTCTAAAACTGAATTTACTAGATTAGTTAAAGCATTACAAACAATTAATTAATCAAACTCTACAAGTAATAGCTTATCATCCCATAAACCCTCAATTAGTCACTTTGTTAAAGAGATTATAGTCACGGACAAAAAAATCAAATAACCTTAAAATTGGGAAATATTTAAACGCAAATTTATTCCACGATAAGATAAACAAAAATAATACACTCTACATATATGAATAGAAAAAATATCGATTGAACAATTAAAAAGCTTCTATCTGAAACTGTTTATACAACCAAAAGCTAAAGAAACACACTTTAAAAACTTAAATATTATTTAACCATTCAAAGAATTACTTAGACTTGGTTTCAACATTGACGATTACAGATAACAGAAATGCATATAGAAACAACAGATCATATTTTGTATGAATGCAACAAAACTAAAATATTTCAGAATAACTTAGAAAGATATTTTAAAACAAAATGTACTCTTTTTGAAAACACAAAGCTGTGCTGTAATTAGTGTTGCGCCAATGCCATTTTTTTGGCCCCGATACCCGATACCTTGCTGTGCAGTATCGATACCGATAGCATCTGTTTGAAATGGATGTGTGAGTATATATGAAGAACTGCAGACTACTTGGATGTAAAATAATTGCCATCATGGCTTTGTCAAGCTGCTGCCTACCTTTGTGAAGCAGGAAAAAGACTAAAACAAATCCAGTAATGATTGGATTGAATCCAGTAGAACTTTTTATTGCCTACCTGGAATGGGTGACAATAGTTGAATAAACTTTTGGCTCTCAAAATGGTA